ACCCGTGACAGCATGCCTGATTAGCTAGCATTCTACCTTTATGGTCAGTGAGAAATTGGTAGTGGAAAGATGTAATCATGTGAATTTATGGAAATTATATTAACAACTGTCAAACAACTGTGTGGTTCAAGTTGCGTCCTGAGGTGTAAAATCTTAACGTTAGTGATGAAAATGTTTTCTAAAAGGAAATAAAGCTTCAAAATTCATCCATCCATCTCAGAGAAGACAACAACACAAGAAAATATCCACTTGAGCACCAAATCTTCTCTAGGATTTTAAAAATAGCTGTCATATGCTCCCCGAATCATTCACCACCTGACATCAATTCATGATAAAATCTGCATTCAAGCCTTATATAATTGATAGATATTTTTTACACAGAATTCGATCTGTGTTTGCACTCTTTTTACAGTCATATCATTGTTTAATTGGGTTATTCCTAAGCTTTTTCTTGTACTTCTGAGTGAGAAGAATAAAACGAAGACAGTATCGTGTTTTACATTCTGCGTCATATTTTCTGTGTGTCGGTGCTGCCATGGTACAATACTCGCCGGGGTTCGATCATTAGTCGACTCACTCCTAAACCTCACTTAGCCGGTAGTAATCCAGAAAAAGAGGAAGGTTTGGGCGTGAAACTAGCAGCCTCATCCCGTAAAAATAAACACCACTGCTACTGAAACTGCAGAAAGCTAGAAGCCCTATGTTCCACTCGGAAAGTAAAGGAGTAAAATAACTTTTCAAAAATCATGTTGTGTAATTTGGTATTTTACAGTGGATGAATTACTTCAACACCTTGAAAGCACAAAGAATTTGTCGAACCCTAGCTAAAATATCAAGCTTATAAGGCTATTTCATTCATTAAGCTAAGTAAAGGTACAGGTGATTAAAACTCAAAGGCTTAAATCGATGAGTAGCATCTCTACAAAATGCAATCATTGATTGAATTAACAATCATTGAAAGTTCAAACTGTTTAAAGTACTACTAAATTCTAAATTCACATCAAATTTTAACAAGTTTAAATAGAACACTAACAGAAACCCTGTTGATTTCACAGAAAAACAGCATAAAACTAACATCATTTTCGGAAGAATCAAAATCTCTCCGAATTTCCTATTCAGATTTTAGTAGCTACAGATACATGGATGATTGTGTTGATTGTTATGCAAATAAACCTGAGTTGTTTTACTGATTAAATCAGTAAAAATGACTAGGATATACGGCATAAATATCGTTTCAAATTACCACAAATCTTGTAACAACACTGGGAAAAAATGGACTAATGGAAACAGTATTGTTATTATTGAAAGTGGCTCAGTGGTAAAATATCCACCAACCACAAACCTATCCTGGAGTTCGATCCTTAACCCATGCAGTCTTAAGCCTCACTTAGTTAGTAGTAAGCCCATAAAAGAGGGGAGGTTACTTGTGAGGCTTGCTACTGCAACCCGTAAAAAGAAACACTACTGTCACTGAAACTCCAAAGCCTCAGCTTGTAGCCCCGCATTCCACTCGGAGTACAAAGGAAGAAAGCGGGAAAAAGACTTGGAAAAAAATTAAGAACAGGTTTTTAACTCACCACTACGACTAAATTACAGACAAATCACATCAACTTTTCATCTTTTCACTTTTGTTCTCTTGTATAGACCTCAACCAAGAAGTCGAAAAGTATATTTTCACCTTTGAAGTTAACATTCAGCAGTTTCAGAGATTGGTACTATGTTTTCAGCATTACTATTCTTCCTCTTGTTATTATTCTTGATTCCTTGTGCTCCTAGTGTACAATATAGCTTCTTTTCTGTTTTGACCATGAACTGTCTTAATCTTCTACTCATTTGATCCATGTTTAGCAATCATTCTGTACAATAGGTTTACTAGCTGGTAACTGCATCGATTTATCAAACTAGTCTGCGTAGTATTACACACCGATTAGTTATAACAACACACAACTGATGTCGTGAAGAAATTATTTCCAAAAGCTTGTAACTTCTAATTAAGTGACTTCTTCATACCTTTTTCTAATTTACTACCTAGACAATAGATAAGTTATCATCAAGACAAAATCGTCATCGGTGAGTATTTGTCATCACACCCAATTTGATGGATCTCGCTGGTCACAACTTCTCACTAGAACTCCAAGCAAACTCATCCCGTAGTCAGTCACTAGTGGACACTAGATTAATTGTCAAATGTTAGTTTGCAGGAATTTGATTGATTTCGATCAAGAAATGTCTTCAGTAGCTGAATGACGTAAGAAGCTCTCCGTGTAAACTGAAGATCCTAGGTTTGATCCTCAGTGGGTTGTCATGGGTGCGTACTGTTGAAGAGTCCCAAATCTGGATGAAACGGCTGTCCAGTACTCCTTGGTTTTTAAAAGTTCTCTAAGTGGAGTCAATTCGTGATCAAAATCAAAATCATTCATGTGATCAGCTGCAAGATAGCTATGTGCTGTGAGATATTCCCTAAATACATTCATTAGTAATCTAACTTATGCTTAGTGCTAGTCACTTCTTTAGTCTTTAACAGACAGTTTCAAAGAATGCTGATCAGCTAAAGCCGGATAAAATCTTTATTAACGTTCTAGAAAGAAAATCTAACTAACCTGACCTACAGTTGTATTCAGCTTCATAGAACTTGTAAATAGATCACTTGTCGATTATAATCACATTGCTTCCATTAAACTATTTTAAAAAAACCCAGTTTACTCTGTCTATTAACCAAGTAACTTACTAGAACGGTGTTGACTGGATACTGAACAACCTAAAATAATTCCTTTAAAAACAATATTCGGTACTTACTAATATCGTGGTAATTTCAGTCAACAAATATTGATCGAAAATACTAAAGCTAGAATGTCATTCATTGATATGAACTTATATGGCTTGGTGCGTATCAAATACAAAAAGTTCTTTCACACAAATTTTATTATACTGCTCTACTTCAAAACAAAGATTTCGATCGATATATAAATATAAAGATATATACATTGACCTCATTAATGACGTTTTGGGTGAGTCACCTTCAATAATAGAAAATAAAAATGTATACAAAGAAGCAGTTTATGCAAATAAATGACCTTTGACCTGTTTCTCGTATAAAGACTTACTTAGTGGACAAGATAATCTAACCTAGATATTTGAATTCCTAAAACTAAGTGAAAAGGGTATTGCACTAACTGATGGCTAACGAGCTCACTTTGTAAGCTGCAGGCAATGAATTCGATTCTTGCCAGTGTCATGGTCGCGTAGTGATGAAGACTCGCAAGCACGGACAAAACAGATTTCCAGTCGTTGCTGGTCTTCTAAATGAAGTCAGATGTATGTCTGACAGACATGGTGCTTAAAACTCGTTGACTAAGACAACCGTGTGATATTTTCAAGCGAAGGGTGTTGTTGAGTTGAATATTTGCGGCAGATTTGCAGTCTTGAAATAACTCATCTTCCGCCTATTTTAGCTATATTGTCATGACATAAGTGATAAATCTGAATAAACCAAAATCACCACTTTTGTTGTGACCTCAAAACCAATACATACATCCATTTGGTCGCCAGTGAAATAAAAAACAAAACAAAAGGCCTATTAGAAATTCATTTGAATTCCCCTGAGAATAATTTAACTTTGAATATTTATAAATTCCTATATACAAAAGTTTGTATATTACATGATTTGTATGACTTATCACCATAAATCTACAGTATTATAAAAAAGTTCCGTGGCATTCCCGCTTTTTTGTTTTTCTGAAAAGTGATCAGTAATCCCAATCATGGTGCTGAAAATAAGGTAAGCTACTGGAAAAAGTTGGGCACTAGATATAAAAAAACCCGACTTAAACGCCTGATCAAGGCGTTATGAACTATGCAGCTATCGTTTCCAATTCTGGTCCATTTTCGTCTAGCGACTTCAATACACATAAGAATATCTAGGCACTGGAAAACTTTAATGGTAACTTAGGGAGTAAAACTTATCTTTTGAATATATAGGTGGAGATGAACTTGAATTTCTTTTATTAGCTGTTTGGGAAACAACGCAATTTTACAAGGTATAAATCTTTTAAGATATCATATACACGTCTTCTTAGTGAAGTGCTGAAATCGGAAGAAATCTCCACCTGTTGAACTCCTAATTCATCCGTATTCAGCACCGGTTAAAAGCCATTTCGCTGTTTCACATACTTTCAGTAAATGTTACTTTCATATCTGTATCTAATGATGATACATTCTTATCCTTGAAGAATGTTCCTTCAATTAATTCTTGAAATTCAAGTCAATAGTAAAGTTTGAAATGTATGGCATTCTAAACAAAAGTTATACACGGAATATCTGAAAAGTCCAACTGTTTTTTTCAGACTATTTAGGTGAAAATCTTTGCAATATTGTAAAGCAGAAAATTAGATATCACAGAAAATAAACTGCTCGCTTCTACACTATTTCCAAGGCGAACTCCGACAAACATACTCATTTGTTTTTGTCGTTATTATTATTTTATTTTAGTTAATTAGGCGATGACTGAAGTGAGTTGTGGTAGAATTCAAATTAACAGCCTCTATTTACTGTTATTATTATTATTATTTTATTCCTTTATGTTCCCAGTGGAACGTAGGACTTCAAGCTAGAGCTTTGAAGTTTCGGTATGGGATGGGGTTGCTAGCTTCATGAGCAACCTTCCCTCTTTACCAGTCTTATCACTAGCTTAGTGAGGTTTAAGGAGTACGCCGGCCGGGGATCGAACCGGGGAACCACCTGCGTGGTTGACGAGCGTTCTACCGCTGTGCCACCGACGACACACAGCCTCTAGATGACCAGTTTAACACTTTTGCAAACAGAACTATAAAAAACATGACTACTCAACCCTTCTTATTTTTATTTCCATTAATTATTGAAGGTTGGATTCAAGCACTGTGCTCTGAGAAACAAGAAATAACCTCAAAGTTATTAAGAAGGAAGTTTTTATTGAATCTCAAAAGAATAAAAATTCCATAAATTTAAAAAGCAATACCAATTAAGTACGTTAGTAAATAAAGACGGTAGTAATATTAGTAGGAGCGGTGGTATTAGTAATACTAATAAAAAAACAATAATATTATGAACAATAACAACAGGCCTAATAATAAACATTCCCTATTTGAAAAGTTATCAGTAAACACGAAAAACATCATCTTAAAACAAATTGTATGATAAAGTTGAGAAAATTCAAAAATCATTCCGTTTCTTCTTCTTTTTTTCGCTGTTCACTCTTATTTCATAAAGATATTTATATTATAGAAACATTAATATGTTTGCCATTAATCAGAGTGAATAGCGAAGAAACTGTTACAGCTTTGATTTTTAAACACTGTCGAACAGCTGTTCTAAAATACTTTTCTTATTTACCGACATCTTCTCAAATGGAGAGTGTTTATTATTACTACTATTGTTATTATTTGTACTGTTATTATTATTATTGTTATTATTATTACTATTACCATTATGCACAGGAATATTAGAGATGATTTGTGTTGACGCGGACAGTGTTTGTAAGTCTTTAAGAGCTGACAGATATTTCATGTGCATTTCAAGAATGAAAGCTTGATTCAAAATTGAACTATTTCGTAGATGACCACAAAATAAACTTGCTATTCGATATGGACACATTACTCGAAGTGCTTTGAGTCCACAGGCTAAGCACGCCAAATCAAAAGTGACAGTTGGCGGGACACTGTCTTGAGATAGATTAGACACCTGAGTTCCATCTTTTAGTAAATTGGCAACAGCATTTGATTGGTCAATTTTAGGATTATCCATACATCGTGAAGCTCGAATAACATTCAAACCCAATGTTGGTAAAGTATCAGGTTCATCAACTGTTGATAAAATATAAAAAAAAGTGTTCATGTAGTATATGCTAATGACACAAATCTTTAACAGTAGTCAACAGTTAATAAAGTATCAAAAGTAAATACACACTAGATAAATACCACATTTTTGGTAGGGCAGACTTCCAATTAAATCGATAACGAAACTGACGACACGATAAAAGTAAGTGGTCAACATTTTAAAATTTCTACATAGAAATAACCCACCCTAGCTGTATAGTGAAGATTAAATTAGTAATTGCACGGTAGAACGGATGGAGTTCATGAATAGGTTATCTAAGTGCATAAATTATTTCATTTATTGCTCATAATCATATCAGAATACTCAGACGGCTTTCCAACTTTCATTACATGTTTATTCTCATTCCCTCTTGTTCTTAGTTTAATTTTTTTTCCATTAATGTCGGATACGTGTTGCGTCATTCATATTACATACAACTGGTGTTGACTCGATGAACAGAAATTCGATGACTCTGAGTCATTGCCTGATTGGCTTCAACGTAGAATTTCGCACAGATGTACAGCAGCTCCAGTTGCAACACTCCCTCCTTGGAGCACACAAAGCAACAGAAGACAGTTAAGCGAAACTCAAAAGAGAGATAATAAACAGAGATATGAGGCAAAAAGAATAGTAATATGGGAGAACATCATAGTTTTATTGGATATTATAAACCACAAAGAGTGATGAATGCATCTGCGCCATCACTGAGAATGATTTTGAGCCATATCACCAATTGTCTGCATCCACTGGTTTTCACCATCCTAAGGACTACGACCAGTCGATCAGTCTACACCTCTCGACGTGGCTGGCTGGTTGGCTTAAACTAACTGTTGTGGATCTCACTGACTGATGAAGCCATGTTTTGGTTTGACCATCACTAACTCTCTTCCAACCTGATCCATCCTGTGTCAGCTAACGTTTCTCATCGGTCAAGGAAGGCGATGGCGTAACACATGTCCTAACCATCTCAATCGGTGTGACTTCACAACCTCGTCGATTGATTTCCCTTCCCAACCATCTAGCATTCGACCGATACCTAACCTCAATATTGATCACCTTATTATACCACTTCACACGGGAGATAGAACGCAGAAAACTGTGATCAAAGACAGCTAATCTTTTCATGTCTTCCACTTTCATTGGTCATGTCTCGCTAACAGTCATTAAGGAAAAAAGAGCACACTGGTGAGCAGTACACACGTCCTTTCGTCGACAGCTAGTCGGATATCAGAGATGGCGTAAATTGATATTATGCCAAACGAGTCTTGTGTATCCATGCTGGGATTTCTTCAGTGATCAACTCGTTGGCACTGGCTGATGCAACTCCCCAAATTAGTGAAGTGGTCAACGTGCTCCACTAACCACTTCACTTCCTACTTCTAAGCTACAGGTTAATGTAGTCCAGTCTTGTAGCATCATCTTACATTTGGTGGGAGCGAATTGCATATCAAACATTCGAAGATTGCTCCATTATACAGTAATATTAACTGATGATGTTTCGAGCACAAACTATTGCTCATAATCACATCAAGGTGTTCAGAAGACTCTGTTCTATTTTGCCAGCGTCTTCACCTAGTAAGGAGGACTATATCATGTGCATATTCTAAATCAACGAGACTATTATTCTCTGATGGTAACAAGTCAGTATCTTAGTCGCTGAAGTCTGTAGTTAGGGTTAAGTTCATCAGTACATCTATGGGTGATGAAATTAGGCAGAAGTGGAAAGAGTGGGCATCCCCCCAGACGGACACTACTGGTTGTTACCACTTCAGATGACAACTCTCCTTCGTAGGCTCTCACCTTGCTTGCTGTATGAGTTTGAGTAGAGTGCCTCGATCAGTGCCTTTACAGCCAAACATCAATATAGTAACTCTCGGTCAACGTAGTCGCATTTTGCTTTCAGGTCAAGAAATATAACGATTGTTGGACGCCGACCGTAAACATTCCTATGTTCTAGAATCTGTTGAGTGGTGAAGATATGATCAATAAACCTTCCTGGTCTGAAGCCTGTCTGGTTTTTTCGTGTTTGTTCCTCCCGAGAACCGCTTAGTCTACGCATGATTATTGAGCCTAGAACTTTAGATACCATATTGGTCAAGTTACCCCCCCCCCTATAACTATCAATCACAGGAAGACTTGTCTCCCTTCGTGTATATCGGGATAATCAATGACTTACACCAACCAGCCCGATGGGACTATCTCTGATTCACAGACGCTGCCTAGTACCTCAGTTAACGCAGATAGTGATAGTCTATTTTGGGAGCTAATTATGGCGCCATTTTTCTTTTCACTTATCATTTGTCTTTTACCACCTGTTTCCCCAATAAGTCTAAATAATTGTCTGGTGTTACCTATCACTGATGCCTTCTTCATCTCCTTCGCTTTTGTCGCCCACCACTAGTCATGATCGTTGTGAAGACTTCTTGCTAGTTTTGGTTTGAGCAGCTTTCGCTCCTCATCATATTCGGCGATCGCCGGTATCATTCTTGTTGCGTCAGTCAGTTCGGATGAGGTAGTAGAAATCCACTGGCTGTTACTGACTTTTGGTTTTATGTTAGTAGCAGCCTTTACAGATGTGTCTAGAGCTAGCTGTAAATTGTGCCACGCCTCCTCAGGAGGAGTTTTGCTGTCCATCTCAGATACTAGTTGGGGACGTAACTGCTTCGCTGCCTACAGTAGTTGATGTCCGTTTAATCGTAAGCATAAACGTACACGCACCAGAGCGTAATCAGAGTCTACGCATGTGTTCCAAAAGGAGGGGCAGTCTTCTACTGACCATAGCCAATGAAACTATGTCTATATGGTCTATTTGAGTCCAACGTTGTTCATTTGATGATGGAAGTCGCCAGGTCAGGCAGCGTCTCTCTTTGTGACTAAATTTAGTGCTAACTAGAAACAGATAATCATTTGAACAGAGCTGTAGAAGACGATCACCGTTGTCGATTCTTCGTGCGCTGGGAACTCCGTACAAACCACCTACATACATATCAGTTTGTCATAACTTCCCTACTTGGGCACTGAAGTCGTCTGCCAAAAGAACTATATCTGAACGTTTTGATTCCTGCAGCAAACTAGACAGTTTCTAGTAGAAATCATACTTTATTTCATTCAGACTGCAGTTGGTTTGGACGTAATTGGAGACTATGGAAAGACAACGATGGGTAATGCCATCCTTCCTTGTTTTGACGGACCCGTCCAGACGGACCGCACGCATACGACTATCTACTAGGATCCAGTGAAGAAGTGATTTTTCTGCCCTAATACTCAATGCTATCTCTACACCTGCAAGACCTCGCGAACCAGCTAAGGGGTCTCCTAACATCCTTAAGGTGAATTTTGCAGATTCACTTTGTTGGCTGCATGGGGTTAAATGAATAACCACATTCGGGTCTTGTATGTGTGTTTCCGTAACACAGCAAACATCCATGACTCGAGATTGTAGATTTTTTGCTAGTGATGCCTGTTGTGCGATTTGTCAGACAGTTCTGACGTTGAAAGCTTCAATATAAAGTTGGTGACGTGGCTTTAAGAGGCCAGGCTATCGGGGGAGTTTCACTGGATATCTTCGTTGTGTATGGTCACAAAATTAAATGAGGATGACCGACTAGTCTACAGGATAGAACTGACAGTAGTAGGAAAGTAAGATGATGAAGTTGATGTGGGTAAAGGAGAATGATGCTCAAGAAGGCTTCGTGTGCTTTTGGAAGTGTGTGGGCAGTTGTTACTTCCCGGCCGCCCACACCGTGGAAGTTGATTTATTCTTGGGATACCTGAAACAGTTAGTGTTGTGTGACTGCAGAGCCCAGGTGACAACTGCTTGAGGCCGGCAGCCACACACGACCTGTCTGAACTGGTTTCTTGAATTGGTTCCGTATTATTAACTTACTGCCGGCTACGGACTACCGTAGGGTAAGTCGGGATGTACAATTTTTGGGGTCGACGTTTTCTAACCCTCTCTCTCCATAGTGGAGAGACAGTGTAGTCGGCTGGCATGCTGGTCATCTGAGGGAAACATCTTACCGCTGTTACATCCCTGTTCCCCAGCAGTACGACTTTGCCCACAGACCCCAATCATGGTTTGAAAAAATCTAACACTATGCCGGTAACTGCTTTTAGTCTAGTCGCTATCCTAACAATCTTCGTGGCATGGTAGGACCTGCAGGGAAATTAGTTCCAGATAGTTTAGCTTGTTGGGTAATTGCGATGTGCAAGTCTGTCCACCAAGTCAAGGTAGTAACTGTCAGTCAGGTTCGAAGACTGACGCCTTTCTTTCCACCTGACCATGTAACGTTTTCATATGCTTACTGTATCGCACCCTATTGTGTGAATACATGCATGCGCATGTAAGAGAATGGCAGAGCTTTTTCAAGATTTTTAAATTAACAGAGTCAACCAATCTAGATCTAGCTAGCATCTAGAACTTGATAAACTAACTGATCCCAATCTACTAGTATGACCTATGTAATCGACCTTACAATCATTACATGGTTTTTAGTAATTAACATTTACTTTGTCTAATTGGATCCTTTCGGATCCTTAAGCCGACAAAGTTTACCTCTGAGTGAGTTGGTTGGTTTAAAAGAGAATCATTCTTAAATATCTTATAAGTATTCAGCTGGCAACAAACAAAATTAATGTAGATTTAAGTCTGAAGATGTCATTGCCATTATCGATATATAGCGTTAGATCAACGTCAATTCATCAGTTTAGACTACATATTCAGAAAGATGACCATTTCATCTTTATATCGCAACCGCCTCATCCATTAGTGGTATAGTGTGAATGACATTTAAAATCGTGTTAGTTTAAATCTGTCATAGTACGTAAATCAAGAAATGGCTTGCCATCAAATAAAACTCTAGATGAAAGCATCCATAGAAAAAAAGAGTACAAGTCAAGAGCAGCATCGAAATAACAATCGTTGTATAATTAGATTAATACTATCAAATATTAACCTTCATGTATTAAACTAATTATGGTAATGTTAATAAACAGAATATTTTATGACAGGTTATAGGAAAATGGACGCAGCCTGTGAACAGAGAATGAGTCACGAAAACTCTAAGATGCGTTCGAAAATCACTTCAATATATTGCCTATCATCTGAAACCTATCACCACAATAACCATATGAATCCATAATTTCTGGAAATGTTTCCCTTAAGACATCATATATTAGTTGGTAGTACAATGGTGGTTCAGCGGTAGAACTCTCGCCAACCACGCATGTGGGCCAGAGTTCGACCTCTGGCCGATGCACTCATAAACCTTGCTAAGCCTGTAGTAAGCCCAGTAAAGACGTAAGTTTGGATGTGGGGCTAGCAATTCCAACCGGTAAACATAAAACCACTACTACTGAAAATTCAAAGCCCAAGCATGAAGCCCTGTAGTCCACTCGGAACGTGAAGGAAGGAAATAAATAAATAAAATAACAACTTTCTTAATAACGAAGGTAGTTGAGTGAAGACAGATTTTATTCCAGGAATTCAGTGGTAAATTTTGTCACAATGGACACATTTCAGCACGTCAACAGTTCGGCGATAGTACTTAATAGGTATAAAGTTAATATCATCAATCTCTGTTGCTTAAACTACATTACTGCAACACATAGTGTTGCTGCATCAAAATATTTTGAAACCAGTATTTTAGCACTTATTTAGAACTGTCATGCGTAAGGAAACAAGATATGCATGAAGCTGGTGAAAGAAAATAATTTAACACATCAGGAAACATACCTGTTAAAAGAATTACATGTCGTAATAAATAAAATTCCTGAGAACTTAGACCGGCTTGACGTATTTCTGATAAAAATTGAAGGAGTTCATTTGCAAATTTTCTATCTGGACGTTTGTTTTTACCTAGCCCCTCTTTCTGAACATCTGGAAGTAGAGACCAAGGGATTTCTAATTGAACAGGTTCTTGATGTTTTCTGTCCTCTTCATAAAGTGAATGATCTTCAACAACAACAACATCTAGAGAATGTTCAACCATACTTAAAGCTAATAGCTTTTGCCAACATTGTGCAAGTAAAGATAACCAAGGGAAACTGTCATTCTCATTATTCAAACAGTGTACCTTTTTAGGTAGTCCATTAAGGGTCCATAATTTCGGTTTCAAAGTGGAAACAAGAGGTGTTGAAAGAGCTACAAACTCAGTAATTTGTCGTAGCCACTCGGTAATTCGTGCTTGCACCGGACGAGCAGTTTTTTTGGCTAACTGTACATAAGGACAATTTCCATTTTGTTTATTAATAACACCGGGTGTAGTAGAGTAGTAGTAGTAGGTAAAGAAAATGAAGTAATAATTGGTGATATAGGTACAGAATAACCAGTGAGATCGATTGGCTCATCAGAACCGGAATCATTTGAAAGGGATGAAGTTTGCGGAGACTGTTGTAAGCCAAATGAACCAAATCCTGAACTTTTTTCACTTTTCACATCGGATGAATGACCCATTAGTCTAGATTGCGCTGATAAACTTTGCTGATTTAATCGGGGACTAGATATACCAGATGAAGAAATAGAACTCAAACTATGTGAATGAATATCAATATATGAATTATTCACCGCACTCTCTTGTGATTTCGAAAGCATTCTATGATACAGAGTACCTTTAGGTTTCGAAAATGGTGAATCTGATGTCGACCCTTCCAAGTGACGACGATGTTGTAAACGAGCTTTGAGACTGGGATAAAAATCGGAAGCAGAACCAACAGATGAAGCATGGGGTCGAGTATACGGACGACTACTGGAAAGTTTACATCCAAGAGAGTTTGCTCGATGACGAAAATTAGAATAGGCTGTTGAATTCCTAACTGAGGTAGAATAATTATTTGTATCCAGGTGATGAGGATTCATGAAGGAGGAGGATGACACTGGAGAGTTTGAAATAGGACTGTCTATTCGTACATCACTCAATCTTTCATTATTTTCTATTGTTGATTGACCGGGAGAAGTAGAAAGTGAATTTTTAGATGATGTTGAATTTTGTGAAGAATTTTCTTTGGAAATGAGCAAATTATATAATAATCCCTGATGAACCTGCTTTGAAGAATGAACATCATTACATTTTACCGGGTTCAAAGAAGCAGGTAGGTAAGGACTAATCCTAGAGGAATTTACTGATTGAGCAGATAGTGTATTAAGAGAAGTGGGACTAGATATAGATGAATCAACTGAAGAATTTAAATGAATCCGGGATAACTTTTCACTCCCTTCCAGCACCGGTTGATTGGTGAGAGTGGCATCGGGTGTTTGAGGTGAAGATAATAACCTATTGTTTTCTGAAGACAGTTTCTTTCCCAACTGGTGCGTGCTGTGTTCACAATCAGTGCTTTCTTTTCCATAATTATTAGACAATGTCAAATGAGATTCTTCACTTGTTACAAGAGCTTCTGCAATCCTGCAAATAAATCAATAAATAAAATCATCAGTCATTTCTCGAGTTGAGTTGCTATTTAAAGAATCAATATTTTCATAAAATTATAAATTTCATTACGCTTAGAATAAACTAGTTTTACCACACACTATATTATTATTAGTTGAGTTCCCAGTGGAATGTAGGGATTCAGAATCTTCCCACTTCTTTTGTAATCTGGACATTTCGTGTCCCCATACTTATTTTTCCTCTAATCTAAAGAAGATACATTGACTTGCTGACATCCCCATTGCTTTCACCAGCTCGCATTTTTCTGTCCCCGATTCCAATGGAGAATAAGTTTTTTTCTATGCTTTGAATCTTCTGTAACAACTGGATTAATTTTCTGAGGTACAGTTGCTAGCTACGCTCAAACCTTCTCTCTTTTTCCAGGTTTAGGGCCTGCTAGTAATCTAGGAGAGGTTTTATCATACACCAATCAGTTATTATCACTCAGCTTAAAGTCATACCAGCGACTAGGATGATTAACTATATGCAGATCAGTTAAATACATAAGGAAGATAATGTATTTGAGAATGCACTAACAGAACACCAATTATTTTTAAACCGAACAAATAGTGAGTTGTGACGCAAATCCCTACCCAATAACTTTTATTTCGCATGGGAAATAAATAGGGAAGTGTTTCGCTGTCAATTATATTGTTCTACAAGTCATTTTCACCTTTGTGTTAAACAGAATTATTTCAAGTTCGAAAAATCACCTGGAATATCTTTCACTTTAACCGAAACAAAAATTTGGAAGCATAAACATATCAGTCTAGATTCGCATAATTAGGAAGATAATAATAATAATTATAAGCACTAAACATTTTATCAAAGTGTACTTTATTCGTACAAAATAAAGTAAAGTAATCTTGTATGTACTTAGTTATTTATTTGTACTAAATAGGTATAATAGCCATAAACATTTTAATTCAATATTATTTAAAGAATAAGTGTTTATCATCAAGAGAACACTTCAAAAATATAATGAAAAGTAGTGTGATTGAGCTTTAGTATACAACTCAACAAAGATGTACAAGTTCCCGAGGAGGCAAAGTCTCTAACTAGGCGTAAAATTGAAATTCACGACATATTGAAGCAACACACATACACAACATTTCTATCATTCTATTCAGCGATAACATCAACCTTTTTCTATGGAACAATGGTAATTAATTACTGATGTCGTTTTCTAAACAAAACAAAAAAAACCCAGCTGTATGTGTGCAAAATTATCACAGTGACCCGCTAAAATCATTGCACTACCAGAATTCCCATCCATTAAAATGTTTAAACTCTTTTTTTTGCATTTCTTGGTGTTTTAATCATACAGTTATATCAAATGATCACAACATGAACTCGTGCACATATTTAATTAACTTTTAGAAAACGCTGTGCAATTTTTGAAGGAAATGAAGAAAAAATATGCACAGTTAATTCTGTCTTCATAAGCAACAAAACCAGGTCACAGGATATACTTCAGATTACTACTTTACATGTAAATCCTGTAGGAAGAGTAAATATTCTGGAACTAAATACCCTGAAAGTTTCTGTACGATGTGTTCACTTTATTACTATTATAGGTTTTGTGTAACTAAGTTCTTTTTTTTAATGTAATTTAAATTCAGAGACCCAGGATTACGATCTTTACTAACTACGTCACTTATGTGGAATCTTCCTCAAATTACTTCCTGTTTCATAGGCAGCTAACAGTAATACAACACACGAACACAGCATTTGTAACTTAAAGCCTAATACACAATCAATAAATCTAAATTACTAAGGTAAAAATGCAACAGTACAAAACATTACTAAATGAAAAGGCTAGTTTGCTGGGATTTGATTGACTTCAAGATTAACCGCGAAATGACTTCAGAAACCAGACAGCACTGAACAGTTGTTCTGGGTTAATTTTGACTCCTCAGCAGTACATACCCATGACCCACCAGGGATCGAACCCACGACTTAAAGGTTACAAGATGAGCTTGCTGTCCACTCAGCCACGGGAACGGAATACAACAGCTCATGAATTCTAACTTCTGTCAATTCGCAATGTATATATATATATATATATATATATATATATATATATATATATATATATATATAGGGAGAGAGAGAGAGAGCAGTCGCCAGCTAATGGCTTTGGTGAGCATTTATCTTGATATTGAGCCTGGTGGACCTAGCTGGACATAACTTCTCACTAGAACTTCAGAAAACTTCATCTTGTAGCCAGCTGCTATTAGGCGCTAGATTACTTTTTCAATTACCAGTCTGCAGGGACTTGATTGATTGATGAAAATGAGTTAAAATATTTTATTAGTTATCGGTTTTTAGAAATTCGAGATTAATTCATCAAATAAAAGTGCACACTTCACATTCCTTATTCATTATTTTATTATTCATAATTGGCATCAAAAGTTATGTAGTATAAGACTTGCTGAATTGTCTTAATGTTTATGCTTAAACTGGTGAAGTCATTTAGTAGAGTGATAAGACGTTCATGGTTGAGCATGCAAGCTCAAATGAAAACAAAGATCACAAGAAATATATACCTACTATTTTTTTATCAGGTCAATAATCCTCTATTTGCACTTTGGTTTGAAGCGAATGGAAAAAATTGTTTAAAAACAAGACTCATTTTAACAAAGTACATATCTGGCGCCAAGATAGATACGTAAACCATTTAGTATCAAGGTCGAAAACCGCAAACACTATTTGCATGTATGTGTGTGTAGTTCACTTTTGCAGTGGATTGCTTACAAAATGAATAACACAGGCGGTTTTACATCTGAACAAGGTAAACTGTTTTTAGGATGCGTAAGACTCCTTACTAGGGGTAAATGAAGTGATTACTATTATTTATAATAATAAATATTTGACGAATTAATTCTCTCGTGAAATTATTCCTACAATTAAATTCATTTTGTTAAAAATGAATGCTGAAATGTCATATAATATCTGCAGTAACAAGAAACTACTTCATACATTGACGAATACATTTCTTTCAAGTTTGGCCACGGATTGACATCAGTTAGAGAACTAATGGAAACCAACACGGAGTACTAGGCACTTGGTTCGTCCTAGTCCGGGACTCATACATAGTACACAACCACAGTCAGGGTTCAAACCTAATACCTTCCGGTTACAACACAAGCTAGTAGATCATTCAGCCACTGGAAACCGACTCAATGGCCAGCTCATGAATTCTAACTTCTACCAATTCATGACTTTAGCGCGACCACTGGTCATTGTCATTGGCGAGTATTCGCTCTCCCTCCCGACAGGATGGATCCCACTGGTAGCGTGTCCTCACTAAAAAGACTCCAAGGCAACCTCGTCCTGTAGCCAGTCACTAGCGAGCACTGGGTTAAATTTCAAGAGTTTGCCTTGTAACTGGAAGCTCATGCGTTCGAAACACAGTGCATGTGCACTTCCGATGAGTCCTAAGCACTAGGACGAAACATCTGTCCAGTACTCCCTGGTTTTCAATGGTTCTCTAAATAATATCAATCCGTGGTAAAACTTGAAACAAATCAAATCCTTATAAATTGACTCTTGAGAATTACATTTCTGCAGACTCATTTTCAATTAATTTCAAATCTTTGTTTGCTTATCTTAAAGTTAAGTTCCTGATTAAGAATTATGTAGTGATTGTTTTTTGTAATAATTTCGTAAATCAAATTACTCAAAAGCTAAATTGACTTGTAATCACTAAACAATGGAGAATGATGCATTAAGACGAAATTACTTGGCTTTAGGAATACTGTTATTTGAGAGGCTTTTAAACCCATAAAATAATTATCAAGTACAAAATAGTCTCAGTTGAAGCTACACATAATTAGCAAGACGATGATGATGATATACCAGTGTCAACCTAAAATGAGGCATACATTTTTAAGTAAACAAATGAAAAAATAGCGATATTATTTGTCAGTTATACTAATCGAAATCACCAACAAAATCTCTATACAATTTTTTTTAGTTTCTCTGACATTGGCTGTGGCTAACATACCCCGTTGTCCCACTCTACATAATCTTCCCTAGGTGATTATGTAGCTCGTAATCTGGATATGTGAGTAGCATTAACCCTTGTTCTCACCTGCTTTTGTCATCGACACTGTTATTTCAACCCCCCTTTTGATATTCTATTGCAGTGATTATGTAAAGTGTAATGACTCAAAATCAGTATATAAATAATTCCTCAAGTACATACCGTATTGGTTGGAGGATTTCATCATGAGCTGACATTAGTTAGAGAACCATTGGATAACCTTTAGGGAGTACTGGAAAGCTGTTTCGTCCCCCTTTGGGACTCTTCATAGTACGCACCCATCACAGGGGTTAGAACCCACAACCTTCTGGTTACAAGGTGAACTCGTAGACCACTAAGCCACTGGGACCCAAGTCAATGGCCAGTCCATGAATTCTAACTTCTGCCAATTTATAACATAGCACAACCGCTTTGCAATAATCAACTTCAATGAGTTACTGCCTCACCTTCAATCTGCTGTACCCTACTGATCACGGCTTCCCACTAGAACCCCAGGTCATTGCCTGATTAGGGCCAGTGGATAGTGAGCATCAAGTCAATTTTCATGTATTGGTTTTGTAGGGAATTTGCTTTATTGGTTAGAGGATTTCATCATGAGCTGATATCATTTAGAGAACCTGGGAGAAGAGCAGGTTGGAGGTGAGGCAGTAACTCACTAAAGTAGACATTGTGCTATGTCATGAATTGGCAGAAGTTAGAATTCATGGACTGGCCATTGGACCGGATCCTTATGGCTTAATGGTCTACGAGCTGTCCTTGTAACCAGAAGGTCCTGGGTTTGAACCCTGGACGTGGGTGCACACTGATTAAGAGTCTCAGACGAGCACGAGACAACTCTCCAGTACTCCGTGCAGCTCTTCCAATGGTTCTCTAACTGATGCCAGCTCATGATGAACTCCAGCCAACCAAACAAAATACCTACAAAGCC